CTACTATAGCATCACTGCAGCTTTCTCCTCTGTTGCATCTCTGCTGCAGCTTCCTCCTCTGCTGCACCTCTGTTGTAGGTTCCTCCTTTACTCTAGCTTTCTCCTCTACTGTAGCATCGCTACAACTTCCTCTGTTGTAGCATCATTATAACATTGTTATGGCTTCTTGCTCTGCTATAGTATTGCTATAGCTTTCTACATTGCTGCAACTTTCTCCTCTATTATAGTCATTGCCGTTGCAGCCGCCGCCGCCATCGTCGTCATCGCAGTCGCAGCAATAGCAAAAACAACAGTAGCGATTTGCTCTTGCTCTACTCATGAAGCCTTTAGCTCATAAACTATTTGCTTTGCATAAATCTAAGATTCGTATCCTTGACAAGAGCACCATCTTGCGAGGGTATAATCTTGCGAGGGTATGATAGCAGATAAGATTTTTCCAACTATATGAGAAAATCTCTCTACTCTATTGAGGGAAATCCTCTATTCTGTTGAGGAAAATCCTCTCTCATAATCTGTATAAATAGGAGAGAGACATATTGATGTATTTAAGCTAAAGTTTTTTTAATAAAGCTTTTTCAATAAAGCTTATTCAATAATTCTTCTAATCTTATATTCTTTCCAACAGATACTACACCAACAGAGTATGAGTTAGATAAATCAAACCTCTAACCAAACTTCTGTAGTATCTTACATTTGTCAAACATGTATCATCTTTAAGTTTCAATTTCTCATTTATATTCATGGTTGTTGCTGTACCTTTGCAATTAATCATATTAGATTTTTTTAGTAGATCCATTGCATACTTTCTTTGTGAAATAAAAATTTCATCTGATCCTTGCTTCGCTTCCAACCCAAGAAAATAGTGTAGTAGACGTAGATCGGGCATTTCAAACTTATTCATCATGCATTTTTTAAATTCTATCATAAAGTAGTTAGATGAACTCATATATATAATATCATCAACATAGAGGTAAACCATTAGAATATTATGTTCACATTCCTTCTTTAGATAAAGAGTAGGTTCATTATTGCTCCTCTTAAATTTATTTTGATGAAAATAATAATCAATTTTGCTATACCATGCCCTTGGAGCTTGTTTAAGCCCATAAAGAGCTTTTCTTAGCTTATACACCTTTTCTTTATGTCCTTTAACCAAAAAACCTTAGGTTGAGTAATAAAGATTTTTTCGTGTAAATCTCCATTTAAAAATATAGATTTCACTTCAAATTGATAAATATGCCAACTGAAGTGAGCAGCTAAAGCCAAAAAAGTTCTTACGGTTTCAAATCTAGCAACCGGAGAAAAAGTATCATCAAAATCAATACCTTGTTGCTGCGAATATCCTTTTGCTACAAGCCGAGCCTTATATTTTTGGATACTTCCATCTGCATTAAACTTTGTTTTGAATACCCATTTTAATCCAATAGCTTTCTTTTCTTTTGGTAGATCCATTAGCTCCCACGTTTCATTCTTCTCAATTGACTTGATTTCCTCCTTCATTGCTTTTCTCCATTCCTCTTTTTTAACTGCTTTCTCAAAAGTTGTTGGATCTGAAATAAACAAAGCAAATGTTGAGTTATAAATTTCTGTTAGTGATCTGAAATTTCTTGGAGGGGTTTTATCTTAGGAATCAGAATTTGAACTGCTAATGGGTGAGGTTGATGATGAACTTATTGGAGCAAAATCTGTCATTTGATTCTGCGGAGTGTCTAGTTCTACAGGAATCTGAATTTGTGTTCCACCTTTATTGGTCTCCCAATTCCAACTTACCCTTTCATCAAACACAATATTTCTGTTAATAATAACTTTGCCACTAACATGATTATATAATCAATATGCTTTGGATTGTAAGGAATAACCAATTAAAATATATTTTTCAGATTTTTCATCAAGCTTGTGATGATTTTGTGAATTCACCAAAGCATAAACAATACAACAAAAAATTCTTAGATGGCTAATACTTGGTTTCATACCATACCAAGTCTCAAAAGGAGTTTAATTCATAACAGCTTTGTTGTTGAAATATTCAATAAATAAACTATTATTACAACTACTTCTATCCAAAACTGATTTGGAAGATGTTTTCCTTTAAGTAAACTTCTTGACTTCCATCAAATGATTTTGTATTCATAGGTCCACATAAGTCAGCATGAATTAATTCAAGACAATTAGATGCTCTCCATGCTTTTCCAATAGGAAATAGTTTTTTACTTTGTTTGCCATAAATGCATCCTTCACATACATCAAGTGTATTAATCTTGGGCAATCCGAAAATCATTCCTTTTTGACTTAACAACATTAAACCCTTAATGTTAGGGTGTCCATATCTTAAATGCCATAAATTAGACTCATTCTTTTGAGTTGTGACAAGTGTATGTCTTTTAATATTTGATACATCAAATGGAAATATATTATTTGCGTCATGCAAATATTTACTGTAATCAAACCAGATTTTTTTATCTTTAATAGTGTATGAACCATCATTAAATATAATCGAATATCAATCATCTATCAATTGTCCAACACTTAACAAGTTATGTGATAAAGTAAGAACAAAGAAAACATTATAAGGTATTTTACCTTCCCTTGATTTGTCTTCACCTCAATTGTTCATTTTCCTTCCACTTGGATTTGCTTGTTATTTCCAAGTCTAACTTTCAACTTGTGAGTTTCATCAATATATCTAAATATTGATTTTATACCTGATATATGATTAGAACATCCACTATCTAGAAACCAAATATTATTTGAGATATCATGAACTTGTGAATGAGTCATAAATAACTTACTATTTTTTGTATTTTTCTCCACATAGCTTACTTACTTTTCTCTTTTCCAGCAATCTGTCTTTATGTGACCAAACTTTTTATAATAATGACATTGAATTCCAGTTTTGTAATTTTTTTAATCATAATTTGATTGCCTTTGTTCATCATGCCCATCAAAGTGTCATCTTCCTCTTCCTCTACCACGAAATCCTCCTTTGCCATGTCCTCTTCCTATTGATTTTTTGTCTTCTTTTGAAGTAAAAGATTCCCCCTTAATCTGAAATATTTTTTTCTTCACTTTTTTAAAGTGACCTGTTCAACCTTGCTTCATGTGCTTGCAAGGAACCTATTAGTTCATCAAATGAATATGTAGATAAATCTTTTGATTCCTCAATTGCGACAACAACATTATCAAATTTCGAAGTTAAACTTCTCAAAACTTTTACAATAATTATATGATCAAGAAGATGTTCACCATACGATTTCATTTGACTAACAATTTCAATCACTCGAGAAAGAAAATCTTATATCGATTCATTATTTTTCATGAACAAAATTTCAAACTCACGATGGAGGGTGTGAAGTTTTACCATAATCACCTTTGACGAGCTTTGAAATTTATTTTGAAGTATCAACCAAGCTTGCTTTGAGGTTGTCGCTGTTGTAATTCTTGAGAAGATTATCTTATGTACAACTTGTTGAATGAAGAACAATGTCTATGAGTCCTTCTTTCTATTTTTCCTCAACTTGATTTCGTCATCTGGATCCGCATATCCATTCTCTATTGAGTCCCAAAAATTTTGAGACTTGAATAAAGTATTTATCTTGATACTCCAAAATTCATAGTATTTACCCGAGAAGATGGGAATAAGGGATTGAGACATGGAATTGTCATTGAAAGCCATAATGTCCAATTCATATTGAAACTAGGGTCTGATACCACAAATGTTGGAGATGGAGGAGCAAGAAAAAAACATAATACTACTATGAGTAAAAAGAATCTTTTCGATTCAAAAAAATTGATTAATATTTAAAATAAGAGGATTAACATAGAACATTTATAATATATTCTCAAGTGTATTCTTACATCTATCTTGCAACTATCTAAATAACTATTAGATCATAGTAACTTCCTAGATAACTACTATGAATTAATTCTCAACACTCCAATGTCAAGCGAGCCGAGACTGAGGTTGAGGTCGATCTTGATAACGAGGGATAAGAGGACAACGAAGTTGTTGGGATGATTGGAAAGGCGGAAGGAGGGGTTGGAGGCAAAAGCGGTACAGAGGTCGACGGAGGTGGCGGGCATCGCCGAGAGAGACGAGGAGGCCGGAGAGGAATGGGATGACGTCGAGAAGGAAAAACCAATTAACTCTACGATCCGATCCCGACCGTTGGATCATGGAATGCGTTGTGCTTACTCCGGTAGTGCTCTCAGTTCCCACTTAGAACTCGAGGATGGTGTGGCTTCGTAAGGGGAGGACGATGGTTGTACTGACCTCGAAGCATGAGAAGAACCCATGAATTCTGTCTCCGGTACGCCATTGTGCCGGCAAAACCCCACAATCAGGGTTTCAGCCTCGTCGATCAAGTCGTCGCCTTCCATGCCTCCAAGGGGATCGAACTCCGCCACAGCGACTGCCAACGCGGTGATGGAAGAGACGATCTTCTTAATAGCAAAGTCCCCATAGTGGGGCTTGAAGAGGATGGAGAAGGAGGGGTCGACGGCACCGGAGCGGGCGAGAAGGCTGAACTCAGCAACCAAGGAGACGGGGCCTCCCATGTCGGGCGAGCCGACGGGACCGAGGCCGGTCTTGATAACGAGGGATAAGAGGGCGGCGGCATTGTTGGGATGGTCGGAAAGGCGGAAGGAGGGGTTGGCGGTAAAAGCGGTGGAGAGGTCAAGACGGAGGTGGCGGGCAGCGCCGAGGGGGACGAGGAGGCCGGAGAGGAATGGGATGATGCCCAGAAGGAAAAACCGGTAGATGATAAGAATATTTGCATATATTTACATAAGGGTTTTTTTTTATATTAAAAAAATTATAAATAATAATTATAAATAATAAAAAGGATCGTGAACGGTAATTAAAAATAAAATACAAAAAAAAGGCTAAAAAAGAAACATCAGTGAAACACATAACTGGATGATCACAGGATCCCCAACACATCATAAATAAGCCTTGGGAAATTGACAATGCGACTACGAACAAATCCTCTGGTAAAGCCAGGGCAAACCATTTTTAAAATGAGACAATGTGAAATCCTCCTCAGGTCACGACCGAATGACGACGCTTTCCCAAATGATGGAATTTGTTTTCATCCCTAGCAATCTAAAGCCCACTACTGTAACTGTGACTTGAGATGGCTGTCTAGTTTCAGAAAGGCCGATAGCGCATGGAGCTCTTGAATCTGGGAGCCTTCCTGCATAAGGGGAAAAAAACAAAAGGATTAGGACAAGGTGGGGTGGGGCGAAATCAAGAAAAAAGAGATGAGCCAACGATGACATAGACTCTAACCCATAACCGTAAGGGGCGGAGAAACGTGGCGGTGCCATGAACGCCCTCCTGACGGGTCGTCCCATGTATGGATTGAACCGCCGTGGACGGAACTGCTTCTTTCCTGGGATATTAGTTCGCTTAGCCGTCACCTGCGATGAGACATGATTGCTTGAACAAAAGACGTACATACATTTGCTGGAAATTTTGATTCCGTACTCTGATTCGACGGCCGTGTAAAAAAGATTCATTCAATTTTAGAGCTTCTTGAACAGCCTCGAGCTCCAGGAATTCAACGTAGGCAAAACCCTTCGGCTGGCCAAATGTATCCGTCAGAATAGTCACCCTGTTAACTGTCCCACTTGACTGGAAATGCATCCGTACTACTTCCGACGTGCAAGCATAATCCACCTGCATTGTTAATCGACAAGTGCAAGCAGGCCATCATCCGTAGCAGTTAGTCATAAAATGCAAGGTCAGATTAGTTTAATTTTGAAGTTATAACCTTCAGATTAGTTTAATTTTGAATATGCATAAAAATTAAAATTGATTTATAAGGATGTGATAAATGTATAATTATAAAATAATAATTTAGATTTAATACAATTAAAATATTAATTATTTTATTAAATTAAGTTATAATAATTGATATGAAGATCAATCTAGTATTATGATAAACTTGAGTGCCCATGCAGGTCAAAGATTCTCATATTCAACGAAGTTAACAGCCAAACTACCCAACCGTATTGACAACTAGCGACTCCAATCAAATCAAAATGCAAGAGCTCTGATTATATGGAAAGTCATTAGATTAAACCAATCTATGTGAAAAAGTAGCATCAGTGATCTTTCATGCGTCTATGTTATCCTCTACACTATAAACGCATTGACCAGAACAGCAACATACATCACTTCATTGTTTATCCATGCAGGCAGCCATCGAATCTCGCACGGATGAACAAGCAAGTGAACTGATGTCTCAGAACAGCCATAATATTTCCCAAGTGCAGTACCGAGCATTACATGGTATAAAAACTCTCATGAGTGAGGTGTTGACAAGACTACGGAATTGTGGACTTACATTGCCAACAAATACAGATCGAGAATCAACCTCCGCTTTACTTGTTTCACTTGCAGATGTGCTAGCAGGATCTACACACATACACGAAAGAAAGAAGAAAAACATGTGTCATGCAGACTCATCTAGCCAAGAAACATAATGGGGCTATTTTCATATAAAATGAAAACAATATTAGCGTGTAAACGAACGCTTTTCAAATAGTAGAAAAATGGGAAGTGCACAAGCATGCAAAATAAGAAATTTCAGGTCAGAGTTACAACACACTTCATAAATTGCATCCAAAATCCTAAATAGATTTCAACCTCATCCTACTTTGTTATCAAATTCTGTATACTTGTGACCATTTCTTGAGCAATAGAACTTCAATTAGCTACAATTAAACCACAATTAACAGAATTTAAGATCAATTTTTGGAAAAAAGATAGAACATTGATTAGTTAAGCTAAAACCACAATTAACAGAGCTGCAAAACTAATGGCACTTGTTAATGGAGCTCCAAATGGACGTGCAACTAGAAGCACTCTAGGATTGAGGAAGGGGGACGATAGAGACCTTGGATGGCGCTCATCTCCTTCTCGACCTTTGCCTGTATCTCGCGCAGGGCAGCGGCCTCCTCGTCCATCGCCTTGAGCCGCTTCTTCATCTCGCCCAATTCCTGCAACGGGATCCGGTACTACGGTTAGGAACCTTGTGTGATCTCGAGGGAGGGCAAGGAAGGAGTACCGCGGCGGTGTTAGAGGTTTCGACGTCGGCAACCGAGTCGACTTCGTCGGGGATCTCTCCACCGTAGATCTCATGCTCTTCCTCCTCCATTCCCGCTCGAACCGTCGTTTATTCTATTCGATAGGGAAGTCGGTCCAACCCAAAAAGCTAATGCTCGGCTTTGTCGACTCGGACGGAAACCTCTTTATAACGATCTCCAATAGGATTAAAATGTTATCGGATTACCGAAACACCCTTCCATCTAATACCAGAATTAAACCGGTTTAAAGCAAGTAATAATCATCGTTAGTTAACAATTATAAATTTAAATAATATATAATTACTTATATTGATAAATAAATAAAAATAATTATACAAAATTGATCTTAAAATTGAAATGTATTATAAAATAATACATAATATAATGATATTATTCGTATATTTTTCAAATAAAAAATAAAATAATTTATTAATTAAACCAATAAATGTTAACTATTAATTGAATCCTATATCATTATAGCGTTGCCAAATAATTAAATATTAATATCTAACTAACATATTATTTGATAGCTAATGTTTAACTTATTTAAATTTTTTCAAAATTAGCAGTATCCAATCCAAGATCAATGTCACTTACCATTTCATGTTATAAAACTATTAAGGATGTCCAAAATTTTTTCGAAACTAATATAGAGAATTCAAAGGAATATGATTTTTTAATAAGATGTAGTTACGCTATTCTTTTGAATAGTGTTAAAAATTATCCAAAATCATTGGAACTTCTCATTTTATCATACAAAAAAAAAAATAAAAGCTGTCTAAAATAATTTTTAAACCAATATAAAAGATTGAAAGAATAATTCAATGGAAAGCAGTCTTATTTGATACAATTACACTGTTTTTTAAGTAGTTCTAAAAATTATCCAAAGTCAATATAATTTATCATCTTTGCACCATAAACAATATAAAATCTGTCTAAAAGCATTTCAAAACCAGCATATAAAAAAGTTTTCAGTAGAATTCGATGGAATATGTGATTAATTACACTGTTTTGATTAGTGTTAAAATGTCCAAAATAAGTATGACTTGTGGAATCATAAAAAATATAAAAGCTATCCAAAAACATTTTGAAACCAATACAGAAAGCCTCATAAGAATTCAATAGTATATGATTTAAATACCATTACATCGTTTTTAAGTAATGTTAAAATTGTCCAAAAATACGTATAACTCATCATTTTGCACTATCGAAAAATAAAAAGGTAGTCCAAAATCATTTCAAAACTAATATAAAAGATCTTCAAAATAATATAGTGGAATATGATCTTATTTAATCCAATTATATATTTTTAAATATTAAAAAATAATGTAACATCATCTAGAATCGATGTAACTAGAGTCCATATATGATTTGTTTTCATCCAAAAATTCTTGAAACCTCTATATTAGGAAACGGAAGGGTTTTTCAAAGAATACAAACTATAATATGTAGGATTTTACTAAGAATTCAAAATTACCATATTTCTTAAAATTATCTAAAATCAGTATAACTTACCGTTTTACACCATAAAAATATAAAAATTATCTAAAAGTTTTTCAAAACAAAATATAATAGATTTTTAGAAGAATTCGATGGAATATAGTTTTATTTAATCGGGTTACATTGTTTACAAATAGTGCTAATGTCCGAAATATTTTTTGAACCTCTATACTCACCAAGTTGGTGAGTTAAGGTTGTTAGGATCGAGCCGGCACTAAGGGGGGGCGTGAATTAGTGCAGTGGATAAATCATGTCGGTTCGAAAATTACGTTCAATAAAAAACGTTTCGACAAAGCCCGTATAGGAAATACTTAACTTTGAAAGCGTATTCGTAAGCATAGTGGAAGTAAAGCAAGTAAGGCAGTTTGCAATGAACATAAAAAAGCAAGAATAGAAATGTAAACTAAGTTTTATAGTGGTTCAGTCATCGTGACCTACATCACTCCTGATTCTTTTTCCGTCGAGGCCACCGGCATCCACTAACGGTCTTCCTTCAATAGGTGAAGACTAATCACCATCTTACAACTCTATTCTCCTTTTGAGAAGCTCAGGAGAGAACTTTTACACCCCAACAACCTCATCTTTTAGACTTCACTAACATTTAGAGTTTGAGAGGAGTTTACACAAGATTACAACAGCATTTTATTCCTTTTTTGCTCTCAATTCTTGTGTATATTTAACCAGGGATGAGAGAGGTATTTATAGGCCTCAAGTGGATTCAAATTTAGAGCCTAAAAGTACCTCATCCCCGATTTTTAAGGTACTAGCAATATCATCGCCTACAGCACTAACACTGGACGGTACCACTATCTAACAGTCTCTCGGAGAATGTGTCTAGGCGGTACCACCGCCTGATACAGTCTCGGAGATTATGTCATGATGGTTCCACTTGTTAGGTCACTGTTTGGGATTTTCACTTAGCACAATAGAGCCTAGACTTGGGCCCAATTGGCCCTTAATTGAGTTGGGCCAATTCTAACTCAATTACGCCTAAAACCTACTTTGATCTAGACAATTATTATAAAGTTAATCAAATATTGTCCAGTCATGTCATTGGTTCATCAACGTCTCATCCGATTCTTCAGTGCATCGTCCTCTCTTGTGGCCTATTACCCAATCGGCCAATTGACCTCCGTAATTCCGATTTTCTTGGCGTAATTTTTGCTCTTCTTATCCCAATGCCCGATCCCATGGCCCGAGGCCTTTTATCGATATGTCGACCGATCCTCCGGCTCAACGTCCAATCTTCTAATATGTTCTAATCCGACCCAACATAATTCTTCCTGCTTTAATTATCTCGTCTTGATCAAAGCTTCCTACGTCACTCAAAACAAAGATCAGATCACAAACACATCAATTGGTTTCATCATCAAAATCTGATATTCAACAATATGGCATATTGATAGGGGGAGTTAAGGTTAACTCCGTCATCAATTGTTTGTCACCATCAAAAAAGGGGAGATTATTGAATCTTGGATTTTGATGATAAAACCAATTGATGTGTTTATGATCTAATTTGCATTTTGAGTGACGTAGGAAGCTTCGATCAAGAAGAGACAATTAAAGCAAGAAGAATTATGTTGGGCAAGAGTGGAATATGTTAGAAGATTGGAGGTTGAGTAGGGGGATCGGTCGACGTATCGACAGAAGGCCTCAGGCCATGGGATCGGGCATCGGGCTAAGAAGAGCAGAAATTACGCTAAGGAAATCGGAGCTGTGGAGGTCAACTAGTCGATTGGGTAATAGGTCGCAAAATCGGACGAGGCACCGAAGAATCGGACGAGGCACCGAAGAATCGGACGAGGCATCGATGAACAAATGATATGACTGGACAACATTTGATTGCCTTTCTAATAATTATCTAGATCGAAGTAGGTTTTAAGCGTAATTGGATTAGAATTGGGCCAAATAAATTAAGGGCCAATTAGGCCCAAGTCTGGGTTGTAAAGGGCCAAGTGAAAGGCCCAAGTATGAGTTTCTACCCACAAGTTTTCTTGGGGTATCCCACAAACTTGCACCACTCCGTCCTTGATTCCAACTTATTGGGATTGTGTCTTTTAACATGGGCAGGGCAGCCCTAAATATTAACAATATTAAGACTGGGCTTCTTCGCTTTCCATATCTCATATGGTGTAGACACTACCGATTTAGTTAGAACTCTATTCAGAAGGTAAACTGCGGTCTCTAGGGCATATCCCCAGAATGAGATGGGTAGGTCAGCAAAACTCATCATGGACCGTACCATGTCTAACAACGTACGATTCCTCCTTTCAGATACACTATTGAGCTGAGGTGTATAAAGAAGTGTCATTGGGATAGAATCCCATGGTCCTTGAGGAACTGGGTAAACTCTGTACTTAAGTACTCACCTCCTCGATATGATCGAAGAGTCTTAATACTCTTTCCAATTTGGTTCTCCACTTCATTCTAATAGTCTTTGAATTTCTCAAAGGCCTCAGACTTGTACTTCATTAAGTACACAAGTTCATACATTGAGAAATCATCAATAAAGGTAATGAAGTAGGAGTAACCACTAATGACATGAGTTGACATGGGTCCATATACATCACTATGTATGAGTTCTAGTAGCTTAGTGGCTCTTTCTCCAATTCCACTAAATGGAGAGTTAGTCAGTTTTTCACAAAGGCAAGGCTCACAAGTTGCATATGACTTATAGTCAAATGGATCTAGATATCCATCCTTTAGCAACTTTTGAATCCTTCCCTCATGGATATGACCTAGCCTATAATGCTACAAGTATGTACTTTTCACCTTATCTCGTTTCCTCATAGACACACTTACATTCATGATATGTGGAGTAGTGTCTAGCATAAACAAATCATTATGCAATATTCCTCTCATCAATCTCCTCGACTTTGCTAGAATCTCCAACAAATTGCAGATATGATAAGCAATACAAGTATCCAATACTAATGCACTATCACAAAAATCTAACAATTGAAGACTGATCATGAATGTACCTAAAGCTTCTCCAAGCTTTTGTTTCGCCCTCTCTACAAGGGACTCTTTGTAGTTTCTCATTTAGTTGTATAGGGGGAAAACATGTCAGAAGATTGGACGTTGGGCCAGAAGAACAGTCGACGTATCGACAGAAGGCTTCCGGCTATGGATTCGGGCATCGGGCCAAGAAGAGCAGATATTGTGTCAAGATATCAGAGTTACGGAGTTAATTGACCAATTGAGTAATAGGCTGCAAGAGAGGACGATGCGCCGAAGAATCAGACGAAGCATCAAGAGACCAATGACATGCTGGACAACTTGATAAATGCTTAGTATTAATTGTCTAGATCAAAGTATATTTTACATGTGCAAGATTAACTATGATATCAAGGCATGAAGCAAAATGAAGTCCCAGAGTTAAGGACGTGATTACGTTGGGAGTTCGAGAGTTCGTCAGAAGTCCGGACGTTCGTCGGAAGTTCTGGAGGAACTAGCCAAGAAGTCTCGAAGCTTGCTAGAGAAGCTCGTCGGAACTCATCAAGAAGATTGTTGTGAAGTCTAGGAGCTTGCCGAGAGTCCGCTGGAACATCACCGAGAGATCGTCGGAAGG